ATGGATCAAACCCCATCCATGGATCAAACCCCATCCATGGATCAAACCCCATCCATGGGATCCCAATGCTGTGGGACAGGAACACACGGACACGGGGGGACAGGGAGGGGACATGGGAACACCCAGAGCTGGAGACACCCAGGGATGTCCCGGTGCTGGTGACACTGGAGATGTCCCAGTGCTGGTGACACCCAGGAATGTCCCAGTGCTGGTGGCACCAGGGATGTCCCCGAGATGTCCCCGCGCCGGTGGCACCCGGGCTGTCCCAGCGCTGGTGGCACCGGGGATGTCCCTGAGATGTCCCAGTGGTGGTGGCACCAGGGCTGTCCCTGCATTGGTCACACTGGAGATGTCCCAGCGCTGGTGGCACCAGGGATGTCCCTGAGATGTCCCAGTGGTGATGGCACCAGGGCTGTCCCAGTGGTGGTGGCACCAGGGATGTCCCTGAGATGTCCCCGCACTGGTGACACCCAGGGATGTCCCAGTGCTGGTGGCACCGGGGATGTCCCTGAGATGTCCCAGCGCTGGTGGCACCAGGGATGTCCCAGCGCTGGTGGCACCAGGGATGTCCCTGAGATGTCCCAGCGCTGGTGGCACCAGGGATGTCCCTGAGATGTCCCGGTGCTGGTGGCACCAGGGATGTCCCTGAGATGTCCCAGAGCTGGTGACGCCCAGGGATGTCCCAGCGTTGGTCACACTGGAGATGTCCCAGCGCTGGTGGCACCAGGGCTGTCCCTGAGATGTCCCCGCACTGGTGACACCCAGGGATGTCCCAGCGCTGGTGGCACCAGGGATGTCCCTGAGACGTCCCCGGTGCCATCGGTGCCACCCCCCAGCGCCGCCCCGTCCCGGTGTCACCTCTGGGGACGACGCCGACGCCGTGATGGATTCCCCGGGACTCGGCAGCGGCGCCGACGGAGCCGGGAGCGCGCCGGGAACGCCGGGAGGGTGAGGGGACAACGGGACGGGCACGGGGACGGTCCCGGTGCCACCCCGGTGCCACCCCGGTGCCACCCGGCCTGTGCCCAGCCAGGGGCTCCGGAAGGGCCGCGCCGGGATCCGGGAGCAGCCGGGAAAGGCGGAATTCCGGCCGGAGCCCAAGGGGCAGGAGCGGCCAGGTGAGCCGGGCCAGGAGCCGTGGGAAGGGGCTCCGGAGGGACAAAATTCCCACTGGGAATTCCGGGAGGGGCAGCACAGGGGTTTTCCAGAGGGTCAAAATTCCCACTGGGAATTCCGGGAGGAGCAGCACAGGGGTTTTCCAGAGGGACAAAATTCCCACTGGGAATTCCGGGAGGAGCAGCACAGGGGTTTTCCATGCCCAATCCCATTGGGAATTGCGGGAGGAGCAGCACAGGGGTTTTCCAGAGGTTTAATCCTGTTGGGAATTCTGGGATGGGGCAGCACAGGGGTTTTCCAAACCCAATCCCACTGGGAATTCCGGGATGGGGCAGCACAGGGGTTTTCCAAACCCAATCCCGTTGGGAATTCCGGGAGGAGCAGCACAGGGGTTTTCCAGAGGGTCAAAATTCCCATTGGGAATTCCGGGAGGAGCAGCACAGGGGTTTTCCACAGGGTCAATCCCATTGGGAATTCCGGGAGGAGCAGCACAGGGGTTTTCCATGCCCAATCCCACTGGGAATTCCGGGAGGAGCAGCACAGGGGTTTTCCAGAGGGACAAAATTCCCATTGGGAATTCCAGGAGGAGCAGCACAGGGGTTTTCCAGAGGGACAAAATTCCCATTGGGAATTCCAGGAGGAGCAGCACAGGGGTTTTCCA